TTAATGCGCATTCTTTTAATCGACGAGTCCAAAATGATTATCCAAGATAGAAGAATTAATTGATATTTTTAATGATTGTCAAATGAAAGTAATTAGTTAAGATATAATTGCTGGGCTGTCTTGTTCTGAGCTGTCAGTTATTGTTATTGCTGTTAAGGGTGGGCATGTGGTGGATGATATCAAGTGATTTATGATGCACATTTGTATGGTTTTTCTGAAGCCAAGTCTCAAGTTTTTCCTCGGAGAAGTTGCAGCACGTTACCGGAGTGTCGAGACATGCCTGTGACTGTCATTTGTTTGTTTGACAATAAAGTATTAACTATGCTATAAGTCTGTTTTTTTACATTAAATAAGAAAAGTCTTTAAAGAAAAAGAAAAAGTCTTCTATTAATAATAGAATTTTTTCATTTAATAAATAAGAATAATAATTTTAAAAAATAATAATAATTGTAATAAATAATAATAATAATTGCAATAAATAATAATGAGAATTTTAATAAATAGCATAAATAGCAATAATAATTTTCATTTAATAAATAATGGAAGTCTCTTCATTGAATAATAGCGGTCTCTAAGTTTGTCTTTTTTGACATTGAATAAGAGAAGGCAAACAATAGGAGAAGTGGTAATCCTCGTTATTTTGTTTTTATGAACGTTTAGAATTCACATTCAAGAGTTTGGATTTGTGGAATCGTCTTTTACTATACAAGCGTTTATTGAGGTCCAAGAAAAGTACTTAATGTATAGCTAGCTGGACGGACCTGGGTGACTTAAGCAATATAACTCTAGGGCGAGGCAAACAATAATATAATTGCAGTTGGCAGAGTTTTCATTATACCCCTGCACTGACGCCGCTAATAGGCATGGCCGTCAACAATTAAGCAGCAATTTATGACTTCATGGCAATCGACAGCAATAATATACCTGCCATCTATAACATCACGAACAATGACAGCTGAAAAAGCCGCTCATTGAGGCCGGTATAAGCCAAATTCCGAGAGATAGGCAACGATGTATAGCAGTTCTTCTGTGGCTTCTATGACTCGTGTCCTACGATTAGAAACATATTAGGACGATTCGTGTCCTAATATGTTTTTCTTTATAAGTTAATGACGTAATTAATCTTAGTTGTATTTTCCTTTTCACAGCAGTGTTGTTAATTTAAAAATTTCGTTCATTTCGATTTATTTATCCTACAATGTCCGTGAGAATAAAGTGTACATGTGACTGGTATTTATGCAGTATTGGAACGTTCTGCGCTGGAGTACTGTAACTTCCTGCCCTGATGTAACGTAATTCACTGTTGTGACGTATTATAGCGTACGTTATAACATTCAAGCAGCGCATTATTGAAACCGCTGATTTTGGAGGAAATTGACGGTGTGGCTCCCCAAGCTTTAGAGGCTCTCTAACTTTTATTCTCATTCCCTACTCTGGAAATGCCAGTTTTTTTACATCCTCCCCGCCTCAATAGAACGAAAAATATTACACCAATTCATTTGGACATTCTATTAATGTTTCCTTAATATTTCCTGAAGCCTTATAGCTAGGACCATGGATTGAGGAGAATTTAAAGAAAGAAAAATAACGGTAAATTTATTTCCTTATTTTATGAACCAATTACAGATGGTGAGACTACGGTATTCAGATGAGCAATCTCGTAAAATGTATATAAAGCATAAAAAACTCCAAAGATGCTTGTTACATTATTACAATTTTATTTAGGGGAGCATTGATGAGACGGATTGAAGTGTTGCAGTGGAGACCCATCCCACTCACCCGTTACACGTTAACATTACACTTAACCCGTCGCAATGATCTAGCCCGCTAACCTGTCACACTCATCCATTACACTGAACCGCCCCATTCCCCCGTAACACTACACTATTACACTGACCCGTCCCTCTGGTCCATTGTAATGACTCGTCTCACTGAGCCGTTGTATTAATCCATAACACTGACCCACCCCACTGAACCGTCCCACTGACCCGTTGCACTAATCAATTACATTGACCCGTCCCTCTGATCTGACCCATTACAATGACCCGTCCCACTGACCCGTTCCAATGTTCAGAGAGTATAGAGTCGGCGTGCTCACTACGCTACCATTCCAAATTTTAAGTGTTTGAAGCGCCTTTAGATATGAAAATGTTAAGTAAGCAATGTAGAAAATGCGGCTCTGTTAGACTTCATACCAGTTCCGTTAAGTTTCTTACGCTAAAATTATTCGGTAAACAAACGTCATCGCAATGAGACCAAAATATAACAATGTCGAAGGTAAAATTGCTCTCTCTTACTCAAAGAATCTACTACTGGTCGCGAACTTGCAACCTCCTGCATCAATCATGCCCTTCTTAACCATTCGGCCGCCCACCATTTAATGGCTTAATCTCGAGTCCAAATGGCAAACCGCCTCAGCCGCCCACCATTTATTGGTTTAATCTCCAGTCCTAATGGCAAACCGCCTCAGCCGCCCATCATTTAATGGCTCAATCTCCAGTCTAAATGGCAAACCGCCTCAGCCGCCCACCATTTATTGGTTTAATCTCCAGTCCTAATGGCAATCCGCCTCAGCCGCCCATCATTTAATGGCTCAATCTCCAGTCTAAATGGCAAACCGCCTCAGCCGCCCACCATTTATTGGTTTAATCTCCAGTCCTAATGGCAATCCGCCTCAGTCACCTGCCATTTAATGGCTCAACCTTCAGTCCAAATGGCAATCCGCCTCAGTCACCTGCCATTTAATGGCTCAACCTTCAGTCCAAATGGCAATCCGCCTCAGCCGCCCGCCGTTTAAAGGCTCTATTTCTAGTCCAAATGGCAAACGGCCTCAGCATATGGACCTCGGCAAACCGCAAACGATTAGTTGAATAACTCGCTCCAAACAAAGTTCTGGCTGTTCAATTATCCAATGGGGTATCGTGGCCGGCGGGTATCGTACAAGCTGTTCGCGTCGTGGCCGCCACAAGCTGCTCGCGTCGTGGCCGCCACAAGCTGCCAGCGTCGTGGCCGCCACAAGCTGCCAGCGTCGTGGCCGCCACAAGCTGCCAGCGTCGTGGCCGCCACAAGCTGCCAGCGTCGTGGCCGCCACAAGCTGCCAGCGTCGTGGCCGCCACAAGCTGCCAGCGTCGTGGCCGCCACAAGCTGCCAGCGTCGTGGCCGCCACAAGCTGCCAGCGTCGTGGCCGCCACAAGCTGCCAGCGTCGTGGCCGCCACAAGCTGCCAGCGTCGTGGCCGCCACAAGCTGCCAGCGTCGTGGCCGCCACAAGCTGCCAGCGTCGTGGCCGCCACAAGCTGCCAGCGTCGTGGCCGCCACAAGCTGCCAGCGTCGTGGCCGCCACAAGCTGCCAGCGTCGTGGCCGCCACAAGCTGCCAGCGTCGTGGCCGCCACAAGCTGCCAGCGTCGTGGCCGCCACAAGCTGCCAGCGTCGTGGCCGCCACAAGCTGCCAGCGTCGTGGCCGCCACAAGCTGCCAGCGTCGTGGCCGCCACAAGCTGCCAGCGTCGTGGCCGCCACAAGCTGCCAGCGTCGTGGCCGCCACAAGCTGCCAGCGTCGTGGCCGCCACAAGCTGCCAGCGTTGTGGCCGCCACAAGCTGCTCGCATCGTGGCCGCCACAAGCTGCTCGCGTTGTGGCCGCCACAAGCTGTTCGCGTTGTGGCCGCCACAAGCTGCCAGCGTCGTGGCCGCCACAAGCTGTTCGCCTCGGTAATCGCCGGTCCTGAACTCGGCATGCACGCTGCATAATTGAGTGGGAGTTTGTGCATGGACTGTGTGTACCCTCGTCCCTAATTGCCCTTATAATTGCTTGAGAGTTTGCCCTCGCACTGCCAGAGGGAGTCTGAGGGTAGCCATGCCCGTTTGCGTTGTTTTGGAAATATCTCGCTGAATAAATCCATCAAAATATAACTTCATGAACGTAAAAGGTGTTTACGATTTGCATGCCTAAAAATTTTCACTTTAAATACTGTATTCGGAGTCTCCTTAGTTTATTTTAAGTTTTTCTCGTGTTTTGTCAGCTCATTTTACTTGTATTGTGCGCTATTCTCACTTCCGAAATTTGAATACGTATTTGTTTCTTATTATAACAGGAATAATATAATTTTGTTCCTTCTTATGCTCGTGAGGCGAAACACTTTGATACATTTATTTTTCTTACACTGATACTATAACTTGATATTTAAAAATTGCAGTAAATATTTTTATATACTTATTATATTAAAAAGCGTCAAGAGTACAAGGCTCTGCAATGTTATTTGTACGCACAGATTACCACCTGTTCGGTCGAATTTCTCGCTTAAAGTCTCAAGTTATGATTCCCTGTCATTAATTGGACCGCAAGCTCGAGTCATAGTCTAAAAATATTAATGAACTTAATACCCCTTAATTACCTGACACTCTTCCTTTAATTATAAGGACGTTCGTTGTGACGCCAGCCCTCACATTTACTTATCGCTTTCTACCCTCAAATATTCCCTTAATTATGAGGGTAGAGTAGCCCTCGGCGACAGCTTCTCGTCCATCTGCTAAATTACGTTAATTTATGGCTGTAATTACAATTTAATTGCGCAGCTTCATCTCCTATTTCAATAATTAACATGTAGAATCAATATCACTGACTTTGAATGAAATTCATAGTTTATAAATGACGTGTTTGTCACTCATCCTGCAATTATAAGTGACGCATTCTTGTTTATGAATCGTGAAAACGTTATTAATGACTCACTCTCAGTTATGACTTAATGACTAGTTTATAGTTATTCTAACGACTATTCATTATCTTCGTCATTAATATTGTCACGGATAGGTAGCCCTAACAGATTTTCTACATTCGGTGGCAATTATTCCTTACATATTTTTAGGGATCGTTATTTTTAATTAAATAATTCTGAACAAGTTTACTATAAGCCTATGTTAATAACTAACCCATTAACCTAACCTATGAAACTTTCTATAGGCAATAACATAGTGAATAACGTTGAGAGCGTGCCGTCTCTTGCAGCACGTAGTGACGGTACGTGCTGGGCTACGTCACGGAGCGGGCGTGTGGAGCGACGTGCCCGTACACGTCGACGTGATCGACGTGAACGACAACGCACCGCACTTCGTGACGACGTTGTACGAAGCCCAGATTACAGAGGAGGACGACAGACATCTGCCCAGACGTCTGCTTACGGTGAGGCACGATGTACGGTGAGTTGCGATACTGGTATCGCTGTTCGCGGTAAATAAAGTTACTGGTATCGCTGTTCGCGGTAAATAAAGTTACTGGTATCGCTGTTCGCGGTAAATAATGTTACTGGTATCGTTTTTTACTGTGATGAAAGTCACAGTAATCACTGTTAATTGTAAGAGTGATTAAAGTGACTCTTGAGTCCAGATTATGTGCACATTGGACGTAGCTGTCGTCACTGCTTATAGTTAAATAAATTTCTTAAATTGTAACTTTAACATTTTCAACTTATCTTGTGTTTTAATTGGATGACAGTCCTGGCTTAAAATAATGCTCGCTTCTGTATTAATTTAATAACTGATCTGTTACCTAATAATAATATAATTCTGTGTCTCAGATATTTTATTAAGTGAAAACTTTTTAACGAGGAAAGTATCGGCTCACAGGTGCAAGCTATCGATCAAGACGAGGGTAAATGGGGGACCATAACCTACTCTCTGTCGTTGCTACCTGACGAGGAAGACCCATCGGCGGGAGGAGACGTGCCGTCCTTCATGTCGCAAGTCCACACGTCCCTCACTCACATGTCTCTAGCACACAGTCCCCCCTCACACATGAAATCCTTCGTATCCAAAAATCCAAATATTGCCGACAAATTTTCAGATCCGACAAAAACTTCGTTGCCATTTCTTCTGAACGCCTCCCAAGATTCGCTAGAACCTAAACTAGCTTCGAGCGGTCGTAGTCGCGATGACAACGAATATTCCGGTCGGCGATCCCGACGATACCAGATGAAGAAAGTGGCCATGAATACCATAGCGAACGCTCGTGATATGCACTATGGGAACCTAAGTCGCAACTCTACACAAGAAGCGTTTCAAAGTCGCGGACCATCACGACCCGGTCGGCAATCTTCTAGAGCAGCTCGTGTCGTCAGAGAGGACGACTCAGCAAACGCCTTGTGGCAATCCAGGTTGAAAAGATACTATCACAGGCAGGCAAAATTACGGGGATTTGCTTCTGGAGTGCGTCCAAATGTGAGCTGGAATGGTTCCTGGAGTGCAGCCGAATCGTTGAGCAGTTTACGCGGAGGGAATTTGTCGCCGCGTTTTGCAAGGAACGAGTCGGTGGTCTGGACTTCTGGCGACCCGAAGCCTGCCTTCATGATCGATCCTTCGACCGGGGATCTCAGCGTGCTTACGGTAAGAAAATGTGGGTCATCTGTGAATTTCTTAATTTAATTTATTATTCTTCAAATACCATATGAAAATTACACCTTTTTAGCCCTGTTACACATACTACACTAAACGACATTTTATCCGGACGACAGAGGACATTTTATCCAGCAGGGTTCTTTGTTGTTTAGCATTCTGTTTCGCCCCAAAATCAATCCTATAAATATAATTTTTCACCAACGTATTTCCATAGGCTTGGATCCCTCAAAAAATATTAAAACTATGACGACACAATTTGACTGTGACAAGAATATCGACATAAACATCAAAATTTTTAAAATTTATATCCAAGCTAAATTTAAAATTTTAGGAAGTATCCGGTGCTTACTCGCCGTAACCGAGCTGCGGCCGGCTAAGCCCTTGGCAAACTCTGCCCTCCATGTAGTCCACAAGACCATTAGCGAATTACCTTCCTTGCATTATTCCAGCCCGAAATATTCATGTAATTGACACAGCAGAGTGTCGAACTCGAGTCATGGCGCTGCACTCGCTGTCCAATACTACAATTACTGCAAGATTGAAAGTCACCCGCGGCGTATGAGCGGCCGTGCTAAACCCCACAGTTGTCCGACCGTAGTAAGACGAAATTTTTCATAGTGAGCTGCAAAACCATGAAATGTTCGTTACCGAGGACATTCATTTGATGATCAACACTACGCAATGTCGATCCTTATGGTCCAGTGACCATTTTTTTCTGCTTGGATGTCTTGGAAGTAAGCCTTTGTCCCGACGATGACTCATACCCGCATGTGACTTCAGAAGGGCGATACACTTTTTGCTTTAGCGTGGGTCATCCTGACCCAATTATTCTTAACAAAAGGGCGTACCAGAGCAGCGTTTGGTTAAGACCAGTGCTGTTGATAAAAAATTCTCATAATTTGTACAATATGACCCATTAATTTCTCTGAGTATAGCCACATAATACTTCCATTAAACCCCTCTAACACTTCGATCTCGCTAATGTAATCTTGCTATTGCATTGACTTTATTTCGTGAGGAATGATGCATCTATAATGTTTTTTCGTATTTTAGATTTAAACAATTTAAATTCTGCACATACTGCATAAGTTTTAAACGTCTTTTAGTATTGCTATGATTGTTTGAAAAATTATACTACTAGACATAAATATCGCTACATATTTGAACTGAATTAATATTACAATTTACAACACAACTACAGCACCGTTCACTTGCATTCCCCCTTCCCCTGAGTATTTTTATTCTGACGAGATCATTTCCTGAGCGCAACCCTCCCAAAAACTCCCTCTAATTTGAAAAGTTTTCTTTTTTAGAGGAAACTTTTACTTCATTGTTATTAAAATAATACGCGAGCTGGTCGACTCTATCGAGGCAGTTTAACGCTGGAACTCGAACGTCGCTGACTGAGACTCGGTGAGTGATCTGTTTTGAACGTTGCTGACTGAGACAGTCAGTTAAGTGACGTTAAATCGTAAACTGTAACTGACAATTTCATTCATTATCTTGTTAGCTGTATAGCTTCTGTTATTCTCGAGGCTTCTCGATCAAGACTTGACACCTGTTATCGGTACCTGTCTTGCTTCGCCGCACGCGAATAACCTTTACTGGCATTGCCTGACATTTAACTTCAATTAGAATTGAACATACTTGATATTAGGTTTGTATATAAGGTCAGACGTAACGCAACATTGATGACATCTTCGATGCCCCGTCTTTTATTTATAATTCGCGGAGTTACGTGATTTATCATTGACTAAGAGGATGATGTGTATTTATGATGACAACCAGTAAGATGCTTTTACGATGGAATGATGTGTAACAATGATGTGTTGCAATGATGCCTGACGATGATGTACCGTCATCCTGGAAATAAAAAGTATCAGAATACATCGAGGCGTATTACTCCTTTGGGATTCATTCCAGCCGACACGCTTCGCGGAGTTCATTTGTTGCTGAACAAGTCAGGCGTAATTTGTGCCGACGCTCGTGTAGATGGAACGGTCTTGGAAAACTGGAACACTGGCAGCTCGTTATTAAAATTATTTTTATAGTAACTACTCGGCATATTTTAGTATATTGGACTTTAGAATGCATTGTTTCTGTTATTACAAAGCTAACAGAGAAGAGGCTTTTCTAGTCACTCAAGTAGAAGTGCGGCACTTGATTTATATTATAGTTCCTTGTAAATAGAGTTGAATGCAGTGGGTAAGAAAATGGTTTATTCGATAGTTTTGGTTCTAATTAAATACCGAATGCTGGTTCCTGACGAAATTCTATTTTAGCAAACATTTTTCGTCAAACAATTAGTTGGAATGAAGCCACTCCCCCGTAATTTTGGAGATTTATTTAATATTAAAGCCTTTATTGTAATTTAACGCAATATTAACGCCGCCATTATTATAAGAATAAGTGAAAATCTTTGTTCGTAGTTTCGATGTGAGCTTTGAGCAGATGCTTTAATTACATTCAATAGTTCCTGGCGAATCATTTTTATGTTTCTGAAACTTCAAACTTCCTGCAAACACGCGGATATTAATTTTTTCCATCAAATTTTTAAATGGAAGTCTAGGAACAGACTATAATAAGACTTACACGACAACGATGTTCGTTTTTCTGATCGTTTACTGCGTTGTTGGCGATACATGGACCTCTGTCTTGCTGGAATTTTGAAATCGCGTCGCCATTGCAGTCTAAAAGCACTGCGTGAACTATTGTCTGAAAATACGTCTCTCTCATATAATTAATCCACTTCTCAGTGAATTGGTTTCACTTCTGCGACCATATCCCAGGGAAGCTTTCCAAATAAAGGCCATATTTCCAAATAAAGGCCGTATTCGACTAGTAGCTTGTTTCTGTCTTAACTAGATTTTGGTTTTGTCTCCGTAAACATTTCCTTCCTAGATCTCATCCCACTCCTTTCGACTCGTTTCTGCAAACTTTATGCGATTTTACGCGTATTAGTTTTTTCTTATGATCCCTTGAACCGTCCCTGATCACTTGAACCGTCCTGGGTTGCGTGAAGACTCGTCAACGGTGTTGTCACTTAACTCAGTCGTACTGTCCTTTTAATCGAGCCTCGAATTACAGCTTAACTACGCACCGAGCTATCACTTGTCCAGCTGTCGTGGCCGCTGAACGTTAACAATCTCATCATCTGAAGTTTGCTGACGTTTGAGTACTCTTGCATTTTCAAACAATAGCTTAACACATCCTAGGATCTGAGTATCTAAGCAAAATCTCGTTATGACTTGCAATACGTAATCTAATATCGTGCATTCATTTTCATCTTCAAATCATATGCACCTTTTATCAATAAACCAAGACCTTATTATGAACTTAATAACTTTAATGGCATTGACTATGAGGTCGGCTTAGGAACGACCTCTAAGTTATTGAAGCGAGAAACCTTGTAGTTATTTTCTTGCGAGGGCAGCTGTGGTTTATGAAGCTCTCTTATTTATTGCTCGCTTTTATTGCATTCAGCGCGCCCAAGGAATTGCGATTTTTTCATTATTTTAAACTAGACTTATTGGACGTTATCCCGGAGACCTTTCCGGTGCTTTTAATCTGCGCCATATTTATGTGTAAGATCTACTGCCTCTGAAGTAATCTGCTAAATTACTCAAAATATTTTCGCCTCTAAAATCTTATCGTGTTACAGTTCAGGGATTATCGTGTTACATGTAGTTCAGGGATTTAGATTTACAGCAGAATCTCAGTTTGACAACTGCAATGAATTACAATGCAATATTTTTGTACAGGATTAAAATTTAAAGAATGAACAAAATTACAGTTTAACATTACTGCACAGAAGCACAATACAAAATTACTCAAATGAAGTACGGTTAAACATAACTGCACAGAATCACAGTTCGACATCACTGCAGAGTATCAGTGTACCGTTACTGTACAGTGTACAGTTACTGTGCAGTGTACCGTTACTGTGCAGTGTACAGTTACTGTGCAGTGTACCGTTACTGTGCAGTGTACAGTTACTGTGCAGTGTACCGTTACTGTGCAATGTACCGTTACTGTGCAGTGTACCTTTACTGTACAGTGTACCGTTACTGTACAGTGTACCGTTACTGTACATTGTACCGTTACTGTATAGTGTACCGTTACTGTACAGTGTACCGTTGCTGTACATTGTACCGTTACTGTACAGTGTACCGTTACTGTACATTGTACCGTTACTGTACAGTGTACCGTTACTGTACAGTGTACAGCTACTGTACAGTGTACAGTTACTGTACAGTGTACCGTTACTGTACAGTGTACCGTTACTGTGCAGTGTACCGTTACTGTGCAGTGTACCTTTACTGTATAGTGTACCGTTACTGTACAATGTACCGTTACTGTACAGTGTACCGTTAATGTACATTGTACATTTGTACCCATACAGTACAGTGTTCCGTTACTGTACATTGTACCGTAACTGTAAAACATAAAGTTACGTTACAGCCGTTGGACCGTGACCCTCCTGATGGCCGTTCATCGTACCGCCTCAAAGTTACGGCCAGCGACGGTCAATCGGCGGCCGTTGCCATGGTGGTCATCAACGTTAAAGACATCAACGACAACGCGCCTGTTTTCCCCGCCCCTGTTGTCCACGTGTCTGTTGTCGAGAACTCCCCAGTTGGTGAGGATTATTTTCAATTTTTTCCTTCTTATATTTTCATTGTGATCATAATAATTGATAATATAAATTAATATAAAAATTCTGTAAATTAATAGAATTAATTCTACTAATAATTAGATTGATAATAAAATTTAATTGCTTTATTCGTTCGGCTGATATATTGTAGTATTTGCTCTATTAAACTTGAAGGATTTGAACTGGAAATTGTATGTTTGAACTTGTAAAGTATATCTGTTTGGGTGGCCAGAAGTTGCTCAGTTTCTTCATGGAAAAATCCTGTTCCTTGTCTAGTTTGATTTGCGGCCGAAGACAAAAGAATTCTTTTCTTGCCAGGGACTTGGTAGCGCCTTATTGTTCTCAAGCGAGAACTTTGCCTGCTATCTTATCAAGTCTCTTTTTCTTGTTGTTTTTTGAACATATAATTGTTGTTATTTTCGTTCATAGATACATTTCAGTTCGTCAATTTTGATTTGTACCGTGGTATTACTTCCTGTATTATTTTATTTGCTGGAAATTTTCCTGTCAATTTTTATTTAATTCTCACTGAATTCACAGTTGTAACTTGAGTTCTATTAAAATATTTCAACGTTTGATAGCAAATATTCTGCTTTATTTAAGGTAACGACTTAACCTCGATATAAAAAATAAGTTACGTCGTCCAGGATCCGTGGTCTCTGTGGTGACAGCAGACGACCATGACGACGTCACGGAGGGCGGGAACGCTCGAGTGACGTACTTCCTTCAGGAGAACGCAATCGACGCGACGTCGGGGGAGCCTTTGTTCGCAGTGGATGCCGTCAACGGGACCATCCAGACCCGCGGGCCCCCCCTCGACAGGGAGAAGACCGAGAGATACGCCTTGGTGCTGGTGGCCCGGGACGGAGGAGGCCTTGAGGGTGAGGCGTGGGTGCTGGTGGCCCGGGACGGAGGAGGCCTTGAGGGTGAGGCGCGGGTGCTGGTGGCCCGGGACGGAGGAGACCTTGAGGGTGAGACGCGGGTGCTGGTGGCCCGGGACGGAGGAGGCCTTGAGGGTGAGACGCGGGTGTTGGTGGCCCGGGACGGAGGAGGCCTTGAGGGTGAGACGCGGGTGCTGGTGGCCCGGGACGGAGGAGGCCTTGAGGGTGAGGCGTGGGTGTTGGTGGCCTGGGATGGAGGAGGCCTTGAGGGTGAGGCGGGGGAGCTGGTGGCCCGGGACGGAGGAGGCCTTGAGGGTAAGGGGCTGGTTTATTTGACGATTGAAATCCTAATTGATGTAATCAAATTAATTGATTGCTATTTATTTAAATTTATTCTTCCTGACTCGAAATTCTCGACAATATTTTTGGTATTCAAATAAAAAGAACTGTCCCCAAGTTCAAGAAGTTCTTTCGATTTAACTGAATTGACGGCCTGCTTCAACTTTTGATTAAGACAGCATCAAATGATGTTAATTACATTGTTTGCTCAATTTCTCACTATCTGATCTTCATTAATTGTTTTCTGAACTTTGCTGTTATAATCAAGGAACTTAGGTCGCAATTTCCATTCAAGTTGGGCAGTTCAGCATTCATATAATCGGCTCATTAATCGCAAGCTACGCACAAAAGACCTGCATTGTCCAGCGCCGGTCGCTAATTGGAAATTCTGCCGGGATGCGTCGTTCTGTGTCGCCTTTCAACATTAACCTTGTCATTCCTGCGATTTGTCGCCCTTCATCCCAACCCTTTCGAGAGTTAACAAGGAAGGGGTTAACAATGAAAGTGATACCAGAAACGAGTTAACTTTGATAAAAGTTAGACTAGAAGGAAGTTATCATAGGAGAAGGATAGCTTATAAGAATGTTATCTTAGTATAGGTTACCCTAGGAAAAGGTTAACTGAGAAGATGAACGCAGACAGGTGAATCAAAGGTAAACGATGATTTGATCACGGAAAGGAATTGCTCGATAGCGGTGGAAAGCGCTAACACCAAAGGATTAACAGGGACGGATAATTATTTAGATAGTGGACAATGAAATGTTCAAAAGCAGAACTTTGGAGATGAACCAAAAGTTAAATTCCTCACCGAGGGCTGCGCTGCAACAATTGACCCGCATCGAAACTGAGGGCGACTGAGGGTACTTTCCCTCAGCGTTAATTTCGTGCGATGGCACAGGTGACGTGATATTCGTGCCTCAGGTTCATGTGACGTGATATTCGTGTCCCAGGTTCCTATGACGTGATATTCGTGTCCCAGGTTCGTGCGAGGTGCTGGTGACGGTGGACGACGTGAACGACGTGTCGCCGCGGTGGACGAGGACGCGGTGGCTGCTGGAGGTGAAGGAGGGGCTGCCCTCAGGGTCCATCGTCGCGACCCTTACGTTCCGGGACCCTGACCTGACCAACCGCTTCGCTTTCCGGGTCAGTAATGTCACGGGGCAGTGATGTCACGGGGCAGTAATGTCACGGGGCAGTAATGTCACGGGGCAGTGATGTCACGGGGCAGTAATGTCACGGGGCAGTGATGTCACGGGGCAGCAATGTCACGGGGCAGCAATGTCACGGGGCAGTAATGTCACGGGGCAGTAATGTCACGGGCAGTAATGTCACGGGCCAGTAATGTTGTCACCTGTCAATATCATCGATATTGAATCAATTCCGAAATTCTTCTGTTCACTAACGGAACACTCTCATTATTTAACAGTCAAAAATATATTAAAGTTGTAAGTAATCATAAACTTGAAAAACTATGGAAACTTAAATTTTTCTGCACACATTCTATTGCTCCTCATTTATAAGTTTTCTTCGATATCTCTCATGAGAACCATCAACTTTGTTCCGGTGGGCGCCGGAGATCAAATATACTCGTATTATCTTTTTTTTGATTTTACATAATATTATCTGATGATGACTTATACAGTAAATAATTCATTTATTTGCATCTAACGAGCCTGATAAGCCTTTAAATTATCAAAAAGGATAATGCCACGAGTTTAGCCTCTATCATCGACCACTCGACCTGCGCTCGTCACTAGCAACCGTTACTGCCAACGCTGTGTCACGTTCGTTACTGCCAACGCTGTATCTCGTTCGTTACTGCCAACGCTGTATCGCGTTCGTTACTTCCAACGCTGTGTCGCGTTCGTTACTGCCAACGCTGTATTACGTTCGTTACAGCCAACGCTGTATCACGTTCGTTACTGCTAACGCTGTATCACGTTCGTTACTGCTGCCAACGCTGTATCGCGTTCGTTACTGCCAACGCTGTATCACGTTCGTTACTGCCAACGCTGTATCACGTTTGTTACAGCCAACGCTGTATGGTATTTTATTAACAACCTCTCAGTGATTAGTTCGAAGCATGATCAATTAATCAACAAGTAACTCCACTTAACATGTTTTATTGTAGCCAAAACATCACATCGTAATAGTCTATTGCAACTACACTCATTCATAAATATATATTTTTCATGAAGCAGCCTATGTTAAATTCTTTTGTAATTCAACGAAACCGGACTTTTAAATCATATACGTCTTATCGCCGGCCAACTAAACGGCTATATCAGGCCAGTTCTCAGGGGAGGAGGAGGAGGGGGGTCCTGGTGAGGGGGGTCCTGATGAGGGGGGGCGCTCGCTCCCCTGGGATCGCCACGCCTCAATAGCTTCCTGCGCTGAGCACACCTGAGGGACCGATTGTTGTGCCGGTGTGTTGTGCCATGTACAGTCGCTCTGTGTACAGTCGCTCTGTGTACAGTCGCTCTGTGTACAGTCGCGTTAAGTACATTTGTGTTGTGTGCAGTCACGCTGTGTGTAATGTATGAAGTTAACGTGCGTGAAGGCAGGAAATAACACGGCAGCACGGAACAGGCTTTATTGGAACCAACATAATGAACATCCAACGAGAACGAAGGCTTACGGAGCACGACTTCTACAACGTGCTTTATCTTGGCGGCAAATTATTAAGAATACAGGAAACTTGATATGCTACACTGTGCAAAATTGTGTTGTGTGCAATCGCAGCTGTGTACAGTCGCGTTGTGTACTGTCGCGCTGTATACAGTCGTGCTGTGCAAAATTGTGGTGTGTACAGTCGCACTGTGGACAGTCGCGCTATGTACAGTCGCACTGTGTACAGTCGCGCTGTGTACAGTCAAGCTGTGTAAAGTCGCACTGTGTACAGTCGCGCTGTGTACAGTCACGCTGTGTACAGTCAAGCTGTGTAAAGTCGCACTGTGTACAGTCGCACTGTGTACAGTCGCGCTCTGTACAGTCGCGCTGTGTACAGTCACGCTGTGTACAGTCGCGCTGTGTACAGTCGCGCTGTGTACACTTGATAAGTTATAACATCATAATCAGGACGTGATTGCAACTTTTCGTGCCCGCAACATAAGACACGTATTCAAGACGCTACCGTGCAATGAATATATATATATATTACTGCCAAATCGATATATATATTTTATTGACACGTATTCAAGACGCTAACGTGCAATGAATGGCTGTAAGGACCGTCAGCTCAATAGCCTAAATGCGTAAGGGAAATGCGTTTATTTTGAAAAGATAAGCTTATTTGATGATATGATTAATGGCAATCGATATTTTATTCGTTAATACATCATATTATATTATATAATATTATATTTTATTATATTTATATTATATTATATTATATTATATTATATTATATCAAATGACGCTGCTCCGAGAATCACTCTCTGCGACCACCACATTAGGCCATAATTATAGTTGCTAGAAGCTCAACTTATCGAGTGTATTACTAATGTGGGACACGTGTTTTTACTAAATGGGAAGTATTACTAATAAAGTATTACTAATATGGGACACGTGTTTTTACTAAATGGGAAGTATTACTAGTAAAGTATTACTAAATATGGGACACGTGTTTTATTACGGACACGTGTTTTATTAAGTGCACGCATTTTTTAACGGACGTAAGTTTTGTAACGACAGCGCATTGTGATACGTATACGTGTTTTATTATGTAAATGATTATTTTTTATAGCATTAATGCCATTTAACGCCGCCTCTCAAGTTGCAGTTTTTCTAGGCTTGGATAAATGATGTATCATAGTAAATTTCAAGAGAGCTGCATAACGATACGATTATATACTTCGCGTCAAAATACATATTTTTTCATGTAAACGACATTCTTTTGCCTAGTCAAATTCATCGGGGGTTTAAATTAATCGCGCGTAAATCCGACTTTTTCATCACTTGGGAAGTTGCATCAAACTTGTTTGGCTTAAATTGTTGAAAACTATAAGTTTTCTGACTCAGAATATTGAAAAATTCGACAACAGTGATACTTTGACTCATTACGCATTTTGTATACGGACGTATGTTATATAACGACCGCGCATTGTGATACGTACACGTGTTTTATTATGAAAAATATTTTACCGGACTTATGAGACACAATATGAATCGTTCCAACACGTTCAACTGATTCACAGCAGCAAGAAGAAAAACTCCAGTCGTACGATGTCGTACGACTGGATTAAAGAGAGAGTCGTACGATGTCGTACGTCTGGCTAAAATGGAGAGTCGTACGGTGTCGTACGTCTGGATAAAAGAGAGAGTCGTACGATGTCGTACGTCTGGATTAAAGAGAGAGGCGTACGATGTCGTACGTCTGGATTAAAGAGAGAGCCGTACGATGTCGTACGTCTGGATTAAAGAGAGAGTCGTACGATTTCGTAGGACCAGATTAAAGAGAGTCGTACGATTTCGTACGACTGGATTAAAGAGAATCGTACGATTTCGTAGGACCGGATTAAAGAGAGTCGTACGATTTCGTACGACTGGATTAAGGGAGAGTCGTACGATTTTGTACGACTGGATTAAAGAGAGAGTCGTACGATGTCGCATGACTGGATTAAAGGGAGAGTCGTACGAGGCACAGGCGTACGTAAGAGGCACATTCTCAAATTGCGCGGTCGTAGATCCACAGCTCCCTAACTGAAGCGAGGTGTGGGAAAAGAGCGGAGTACCATAGGTATCGGCACTTGGCCTTATCCTCTTTCTTTTTCACATGTTGAAGGAAACTACGCCTCGACATCGTCATTTGCGACCAATAACAGGGGGATGATAACAATTGCAAACGGAACAACCAGCGAGAGGTTGCAAACAGGCCAGTCTGCAGTGTTTGACTGGACCAGACTGGAATATGAATGTTAAGAGTGAACAACATACAATTATACGGAACCAAGTTTGAAGTTCTGAGATACAGAGGTAGCGAAAATTCTGGATTGAACAGCACTACCTGGCCCTGGGTAGCATGGAGACTGAAATGATCTCGGAGTGTTGACGATTGTCCATGTCAGGTTTGGTAACCACATAGCGGCAATTACTGAAAGAGTAATATGACAGACTGTACATCTTGCGAACTTTCAGAACGACAGAAGCGGAACCGGTGTTCACACTCTTTAGAGCCCTTTCGATCCCTCTCCTTGAATACTGCTGCCAGCTCTGGACCCCGATCAGGGCTGGCGCAGTGCACAAATTGAAAGCGGTAAAGCGAGCCTTCATGTCCTGTACCAGCGGGATGGAAGAGCTGGACTACTAAGGTGGCTGGGATGCCTTGGTCTGTTCTTAATGCAGAGGAGACAGGAGAGGTGTGTCATTCTGCACACATTGAAAATAATCAACGGACTGGCCCCTGACCTTGAAAGTGCTATATCTTTATGCCATACCTCTACGAGGGAAGGAGGGAGACTTAGCAGGATACCATATTACGCAACAGAGCTGAGATTGGATTTCAATCTCGTTAGGAAGGACCCCTTTTCGTAGCGGGACCAAGGCTGTTTAAGCTCTTGTCAATGAAACTTTGAAGAGGGGATGGTCTTATTGAGACTTTAATTCATTGTCGACTGGACATGTTCATGGGTACAATCCCTGATCTTCCGTCTCTGCACCACTGCCGGCCGCAAGAAGCAAGCAGCAGTATCCTGCATCAGTCCCAACTGAGATCATCAACTGGCCCAACTGAGAGTCAGTATAGTTACGAGACCCATTTTGAGTGAAAAATAGCTTTCATGCATGGCTTCAAACGTGCAAAAAGTCCGGGTTTTGGATTGACGCCGTGGTTGATAGTTACATATCAAACCCGAACAGCTCGTAGGCGCTCCCATATTGCCCGATAGTGACTTGATGAAGTACAAAAGCTTAATGTACATAACCAATGCCCTCAGAAAAACTGTACTCGTCCCAGAACTAAAACGGCCCCGGTTCACGATCAACTACCACAAAACAACTGTGTACTATTTCCAAGTTATTAGATGGTGCCAATTTTTCCAGCTCTTTCCTGCCCAAGCTCTCATCACCGGAATTCAGTTCAATGGCCGAATGTATGAGATAAGAGATTTTCCCTTCAATGTTCAGATGCCTGCTGCCTCTTCGTG